ATGAACTTTTTGTTAATGATTCTGTGTTATTTTTCACTTTTTACAGTAGTTTACTCAGTGGATTTCGTGGGAGCAGACAACTCAATCAAGCTCAAGGCAAGAGCAAACCCTAATATAATTTTAGCTGTTATTGAACGTTACGGTGAACATGGAAAAATCTCTAATCTTCGTTTCGACGGTGAAGTTATGAACTTTCAGGGCAATGGTTATTACGGCCAATCAGGCCTTTACCTTCCTTCCAACTCCGCCGGTTATTATCCTCCTCCGCCGCATGTTTTCGCTGGAAACTATGGTTATCCTCCTACGTCGAATCCGCCGCACCAAATAGAGTCGGCTCCACGACGGATAAATAACCAGCTTTTAGAACCTCCGCGGCCACCAGCGAAGCCGTTACATAGTTACTCTTACGTAGAACCACCGTATTGGCAGACTAGTTCGTCGAGTGGAGGAAGGTGCGTGATCATGTGATTGTGCCTCTGTTTGAGAAAGAAGTATAAGATGAGGTTCTTGTATTAAAGCCGCGTTTGATTATATTCTTTAATCCTAATCACTGTTTTTTAAAAGCGTTGCGTTGCGTTATAGACGTGGATTCTAATTTTGTTTTGTTTGAATTAAGACAAATTGATGATTGATGGATACTCTATATCTTGAGCAGAATAAAAATTTGGGATTATGGTGCGTGTACATTTTTTTGAGTAAAATATAGTTTTATACAATTTTTTTTTTTGACCAAAAAAAAAATACATATGATTTTATTAGTGATGCCGTAACTTACAACTTATACGCATGTAAGACTGGAGATAAAACAATAGTTTTGTATTCATTTCAATGTTGTTGGTTCATTGTTTGCGACCAAGTTCAACGTTTCAAACAAGTACCACGAGTAGAAAATGCTCGATTTGCGAGTTTATTATTAATTATCAAAGCAAAGTGAGTTTAGTTTGTTAGTTACAATAGACCGGATATATACATTCTTAAATAAAGATTATTTGATAATCTAAAGATAACAAATTGTTGACCAAAAATAAAAAAGATAACAAGTTAAATGTGACCTCATTCAACTATTTTCTCTATATTTAATTTTCTTAAACAATTCACTCATAGGTAATTTGGTTGAAGTAAAGCCTAGAACAACTTAGGGATTCGCTCTAATCACGAAAAAGAAGCATATAAACAAAATGCTAAACTTTTTCTATGATATACAACAAAATTTGGCATAGAGATTGATCCAAAATTCAATATAGTATGGACGAGAAAACTTGAAATTGGCGATTAAACCGATCCCAAAAGTTAACTTTGATCGGATAGTATCGGACTTAGACTTTAAACATCTTTTAACACTAATTATCCTTCCAAGATCAGTGATAAATATGAGGAGTGTTGGGTCCATCAACCTCCCCATACACAACACCCACATGGGTTTCATTGAACAAAATTGTGATTACTTCTTACTTCTTACTTCAATCTTGACCTCTCATTCTCTCATCATTTGCCTTTCGTGGTCGTCCATTTTCACCAAAACTTTTTATTCTAAAAATCAGCTCAGCAAACTTTTTTGAGCTATGCACCATAGTTTCCTTTTACATACTTGAATATAATTACATTTATATATGCTTTTTCTACTCCACCGTTCCATATAAACTCAAACAATAGCATATGAATGCATCATCTTTCCCGAATATACTAATTTGTTTTATACTTTCTGAATCAATTGTAACATATTTACGAGTTGGTTTTTTTTCGGCATCTTACGAATATTGTATTGGTTTTTGGATGTACCTTTGGACATTATTGAGCATATGATTGCATACATGTATGTGTTTAATTTGATCAATTTTACTCTCAATAGGAATTGGACCCACTTAACTCTAAGAGAGCCTGATTGTTATATTATAATGTGATTTTTTTTTTTTCGTTTCTTTGTCCACTGATTGAGTTTATACTGTTCCCTCACCATGTCTTTCGGTTTTACTTTATTTTTTATTTGGATTTTGGTATGTTTAAATAGTTCCATGATTGATGTATACACTATCATTCATTTTTTGTTAGGCATATTTCGTGGCTTTTATTTTACCTATCTTAGGCCGTTGAACCGTTGTACACGATCACCAAAT